TGGCATCCTGGGCTCAGCAGGATTCTGTTAGGTGACTCTATATGTGAAGACCGACATATGGCACACTGCGGATCGTCGACCGCTCTGCTACAACTGTGGAGAGCCAGGGCACATTTACCGTTTTTGCCTACATCGCCGAGCTGAATACTGCGGTAGTGCGCCTACAGCTACGCACTGATAGTTCGACAAAAGCCGTGCCCCCATTAACGACGACCAGGCTCTGCTACCTCCTGGACGCGCTGACCATCCCCGGCTTGTTTTGGTTCACCGAGCCGCCGTAGTTTTGCTGACACCATCAGAGGTCTGTCTCCCAGCCGTGGAGTTGCCAAAAATGGCCCACTGCTGCCGAAAAACGTGAGAGACGACAATGAAGACTCCGCCGAGAAAACTGTGACTGCCGACCTTAGACAGTTGATGGCGTTGAAGTGACGGCCTTAGTCGACAAAGGTGCCGACTTTTCCATAATGAGTGAACGATTGGCCGACGAACTCAGAAAGTCAGGACGAAATGGAAGGGCCCTTATATCCGAAAAGCTGGAGGCCAGATAATGACACCCTCGAGAAAATGTACAACAAGACTCGCGATTGAGACATTTCTGATCCTACCCGAGTGCTGCAAACCTATGATACCAGACTTCTCAAAAGAGTAGGGTGTTGTGGTGAACATACGTGATGGTGTGATTACATGCACCACTGACAAGCCTGTGACCCATGTTCCAGACCAAGAACCAAGGCTGTTACGTGTGGTCCACGACGTCTGCGTGCCACCACTGTCATGTAGTGAAGACGCCATAGCCGAACGCATCACTGCCCTTCTTTTTCGCCAAGGCATTGCCATCGCTCGCGGCATCATCAGCTTAGTGGATGGGCGCGCAGAGGTGCTCCTGACCAACTTCACGAATGAGCGCCGGCACATCGGTGAAGGCACGGCTGTGGCGTACCTCGAGGAGCTCGGCCACTCTCACGACTGTCTTCTTATGCAAAGGAAAGCCACAGCCCAATCACCTCCGCATACACCACCAGTCGATACCGATCCGAGTCTAACACCGACTGAAAGATGCCGTCTTATGGAGCTGCTCGACCAGTTCAAGGACGGCTTCTCATCGACATCACGAGTCGAACGCCTCTGACTAAGCATCGCATCATTATGGAAGACACAGCAAGTACCATCTGACAGAACCCATATTGCGTCGCTCAGAAAAAAATGTGAGGTAATCCAGCAGCAAGTCAAGAAGATGCTAGAGGATGATGTAATCGAACCATCAAAGAGTCCTTGAGCATCAACAGTGGTACTCGTAAAAACGAAAGATGGCAGCTTGCGTTTCTGCATTGATTATCGTAAGCTGAACCACGTTACGAAAAAAGATGTTTATCCGTTACTAAGGATCGATGACTCTTTGGACAGGCTACGGCATGCGGGCCACTTCTCGTCAATGGACCTTAAAAGTGGATACTGGCAAATCGAAGTAGACGAGTCTGACCGAAAAAACACCGCCTTCGTGACGCCAGACGGGCTTTATGAATTCAAAGTCCTCCCTTTCAGTCTATGCTCAGCCCCAGCCACGTTTCAGAGACTAATGGATATCATACTGTCCGGCCTGAAATGAAAAACATGCCTTGTGTACCTCGACGACGTGATTGTTTTTTTGGCCAGGTTTGAAGAACATCTAAAGCGGCTACTGTCAGTCCTTCAAGAAATACGATCCGCTGGACTCACACTAAAGCCGGAAAAATGCCACTTCGGCTTCGAAGAACTCCAGTTCCTGGAACACGTGGTCAGTCGTGAAGGTGTGAGGCCTGACCCAGATAAAACTGCAGCCGTCGCAAAGTTTGCAAAGCCTGTTGATAAGAAAGTGGTCAGGATTTTTCTGGGTCTCTGCGTCTACTACCAGCAATTTATAGCAGACTTTTCACACATAGCCTCTCCACTCACCCGCCTTACAAGGGAAGACGCGTTTGCATGGGGTGAGGAGCAAGAAGCTTCGTTCAACGAGCTGCGACAGCATCTACAAGCTCCACCCGTCCTCGCTCACTTTGACGAGAATGCACCAACAGCCATCCATACAGACGCCAGCAATGTGGGCCTAGGTGCTGTTCTTGTCCAATGCCAAGATGGCGTGGAGAGAGTAGTTGCCTACGCTAGCAGAACGTTGACACACGCCGAGTCTAACTACGTACTCCACAACGGAGAAGGAGTGTCTGGCTGTCGTTTGGGCAGTTGCGAAGTACCGCCCGTACTTATATGGCCGAGCTTTTCAAGTCGTAAGCGACCATCACTCTCTTTGTTGGTTGACCAACATGAAAGACCTAGCTGGACGTTTAGCACGATAAAGCTTTCGGCTCCAAGAGTACGACATGACCGTAGTTTACAAGTCCGGAAGGCAACACTTAGATGCCGACTGTTTGTTGACTACAGAGGACAATGAACTCACAGGTTTTTTTAGGAGTTGTTGATGCGGCTATCATTTCTCAGCAACAAAGAGATGATTGGGAGCTCAACTGGCTTATAGAATTCTCGAACGAACGAACCGCCAATGCGCCAAGAGTGTTTTCGAAGAACTTATCGCCATTCTGTTTACGGGACGGAATTCTGTAGAAAAAGAATTTCTCATCAACAAGTAGAAGCTATCTGCTGGTAGTTCCTCAAGCACTGCACAGCGAAATTTTACAAGCCTGCCATGACGAAGGCACTGCGGGCCACCTTGGTTCCACAAAAGCAGCGACACGCGTCAAAGAAAAATATTACTGGTCAAGAATCGCAGCAGAGGTGAAACATAACGTCCGAACATGCATTGACTGTCAGCGGCGCAAGGTACCACATGTCAAACACGCTGGCCTGTTACATCCGGTGCCCGTAATCGGAATGGATCTTCTGGGCCCATTCCCAACATCGGACAGCAGCAATAAATGGGTTATAGTGGCGACGGACCACCTCACCCGATACGCAGAGACCAAGGCAATAATTGCAAGTGGCACAGCAGCTGAAGCGGCCCAGTTGTTCATTGAGAACATTGTTCTGAGACATGGTGCTCCAGCTGTCATAACAGACAAAGCTGCCACATTTACAGCCGAACTTTTGCGCACTGTGCTTACGCTCAGTGGCACAGCGCAGAGGAAGACGACAGCTTACCACCCACAAACGAATGGGCTTACAGAACGACTTAACAAGACAATCGCTGACATGCTTTGCATGTACATCGACGTGGAACACAAGAATTGGGACCGAATATTGCCGTACATCACATTCGCGTATAATACGGCGTGCCAGGAAACAACGAAAATGGCGCCGTTCGCATAATTCATGGCAAAGAAGTTACTACAATGCTTGACGCCATGCTGCCTTACGATTGCAATGATTCAGAGACGGACGCTGCAGATTTCACTGAGCGCGCCGAGGAAGCAAGGCAGCTTGCCCGCGTCAAAATAATCAACCAGCAGCAACTTGACGCCCAATGATACAACCTTCGCCATCCATTCTTCTCTTATCTACCAAGAGATAGAGTCTGGGCTTGGTTTCCTGTATGACGGCGAGGCCTCTTGGAGAAACTCCTACGCCAATACTTTGGACCCTACAAGATTTTGCGCCGTCTTAGAGACATGACGTACGAAGTCAAGCCCGACGCCTCCTCTTGTTCGAAACACCGCCAGCATCTGCCTGAGACAGTGCACATGGTCTGTATGAAAGTTTACCACTCTGAGTGATGTAAACACCGCTGGCCCCATCTCTACCTGGTGAGCATCGGGATGACGCTCACTCTAGCGGGAGAGTAATGCCGCGTGCATAGCTGCGTCTAGCTGCGAGATAGCAATGACAATGAAGATCGCGGATTTGCTCGAGAGGTGCAGCGCAGGCGAGTGAAGAAGACGACAATCTTAGCGGCCTTCTTTTGAGAGCATCTCTACGAGTTCCACTGTCCATGTTTTTAAATAAATTTTCTGTATTTTATAACCCGCGACAACATGTAGAGGATTTGCATAGGTAGAGCTTATACGTGTAAGCAGTGCGCATGCGCAGAACATGGCGACCACGCCCGCATAAAAATATGTGAGATTCGATTTTTTGCATGTGTTTCATGTGCATGCAGGCAACTCAGTGCCGACGCTGTGCACAAACGGCTTACATTGAAACACCATGACAGGATCAGCTCCACCTTTTCGCTTTTCAAAGAGCGACGATTTAGACCTGCTATGCTATATGAGAGAATGCAACTCTTTCGAGGAAAACATGAGGCACACAATGTGCTGGAAAAAGATCGCTGTCCGCGTGACAGAGTTGCACAAAAAAGTGTTGAGCACTCGGGCTGTTTGCGACTGGACAGACCTACTGCTCACACAACACACTGAGTGAAACAGAAAAAACCTTCGCAGGCAAGTTGCTTGGTAGTTTCCATTGAGTGAACAATGCACAATGCAAACTCGACTGGTAAAAGATTTCTTTTTCTTGGTGGCACCTCCTAGGTTCGAAACTAAGGAGGAGTACTCGAAACAAGACCACTTGCCACACGAAATTTTCAAAATCGCAAAAAAGAACGGCTATGAAATGAGAATCTTTAAGAAGGCACCGTTGGGCTCTAGCAGCCGAAGGACATCAATTATCAATCAACATTGCCAGAGGATGGAGCTATGTGGTAGGTGTCACCGCGCGTTGCGTACAAGTAGCTAAAGGCGTTTCAGATGGTGCGCACAAAGCTTACGTGGACTTTTCACGTTAGGGTAAATGAAGTCCCTACGTACATAAAACTAAAACTGCCTATATAGTCATGCACAGCAAAGGGCGGCATTAAGACATATCAAGAGGATTAAGAAAGAAGCAAGGAAACAGGGCAACATAGAAAGAAATAAAGAGAGACTATAGTAAAAATAAGAGAAAAAAATCAAGCAAGAACTAATCTGCATTCTCAAAGAAGTGGCACTTGCTTGCCAGCTCCACTTTTTACTCATAGTTCACAAGTGTGCAAGTGGCTTTAACATTTTTTTCTTACGGCAAATTATGAGCCATACCTGAAGAAACAGCTTGAGGCTCGGTTTGTGTACCGCTTGTGGACAGAATTTTCTTTTCATCTGTTTGTGATGCTTCGTGGCAGGTAAGTAGTCGCACTTGAACAGATTTGTGTGCTACGTGGCCTGGCTCACATCGTAGCTCTGGCGATGTTTCTGCAGGTTTCCCCGACTCCCGATGCAGACCAGGTACTGCTGCATGTACTGGCCCTGCTGCAATGTCCTCCTGAAATAAATTAGCTTGTGTTGTTGCAAGTGACGAGGCTACGCATTTTTGCCAAGAAAAGCAAATGAAAGACCTCGCACATTATTGCTTGCGTTACGTTGACTTAGCCTTGGCATGTGCCTGACTGTTGCATCTCCAGAGAGGAGCTGTTCAAGAAAATCAAACAGCATATCAAGAGATGTGTTACTGGCACATACACAGCAAAAAAAGAAACATGGCGATAATGCTGAATAACCCTACAGTATAATATCTATGCCTTACATTTTCCCGAGTCCGTACATTGCTCGTCCTTTAGTGGCACGAGTAGGCAGTGACACACTTTGCTTCTATTCCAAGCATATCCAATACACCACTTACGATGTTCCAAATTTCCGTGAAAGGACTTCTTAAAATATAATTCAATAGTTCTGTTTCATGTTAAAATACACACACACAAATGAGGACAATAGTTTCTTAAACATAGTGAGCAGCTGGCATTAGAAAGGACAGCCGAGCTGGTTGCATCGAAAGCGTTGTGCAATTAGGGAAGGAAACACTATCACACAAGCAAGAAAGACGACACGGCAACGAACTTTTACTGACAATTATTTTCAAAAAGAAGACACACAAACATACATCTGGTCATGCACAATGACCAGATGTATGTTTATGATTATACAAGAGGCCGGTAGTCGCCATGATGGGGGAAGGGGTAGCAATTTTGCCACTGGTTCGATATCATTAATGACTGCTTGTTTTGCTCGCCGCGAGATGACGAAAACAGGCCGTGGTTGCTCTCGCTCGCACTTGAATGCGCTGCCAGCAGCCGCCGGGGCGCGCAGGCCACGCGCTCCCGTGCACCCTTTTATAAAATATGACTATTGTACAATTTACAAACAGCACAAAAAAATTGCTTATCGACCGTCATGTTCACCGTATTCTCTCCTGCTCTGACTGCAGATTTTTTAGAAGAATACAGTCAGGGGAGTGAAACTTCCTATACCCTCCATGGAACGCGATATTCGCTCGCAGCCCCGGACAAACGCCTGGTGTTTGGGGGCGGTACAAAAACATGGCGGCGCATTGCAGACATGCACTGGGGGACGCCATCCTGATGAGGACTCAGGATCCGAGTGGCGAGGGGGGGGGGGGATTTAGCGCCAAATTCAATTGGGATGCACCAGCAAGCCAAATTGAGCGAGTGGAAGGTATTCAGATGCCGAGCACGCAACCTTCTTCCTGCTGCGCAACTTGCCACATGATGAAAACGTCCATCATTGCGTTCTGATTGATGGTCTGCCTATCCACCTATTTGTGCACTACTTATTCTAAGTAAGACGTTGTTTTTGTTTACGTGTACACATAAATTAGACAAGAATAAAGAGCAGAGTTTGTTTGAATGTTTTGTTGCCTAAACGTACGGTTTATGCAGTACAAATACAACTTGAAAGTTTTACGTTTTTGGTCGCATACAAAAATGGACCCCACATGCCAGCATGCTAATAACCTAGTATCAATCCAGTGCACATTGCCGCACATACGTATAAAGACAAAAGAAAAACAGTAATAACTATACACAAGTTCACAGCATGTATCTCGATATAAAATCATCCCATGAGTGGGACAAGATAATACGGCACACCGCACACTTAGGATGCAAGAGGAAATGATACAAAAACCATAAGGTACCGGAGTTAGACATTGCTACATTTTCTATTCAGCATCAGGTTTCTTTATAAAAGCTTAAGCAAAAATTTACAAAATACTGAAGCCACTATAGAGTGTTCTCATAAGATAACACAAAGGGTTTATGCTTTCTTCAGCGTAACATACCTATATTGCTTAATGAAAAAAACAAAAACAAAATACAAGCAGATAAATAGTACACACACATGTCCGCTTCAGAGGCAGAAAATGGTGACCTCAGCTATAGAAGTAGCGGTGACCCAAAAATATGGAAGTAGCGCCTACTTTTGCGCATATGTGTGTCTTTTTGTCGTCCGTGTTTTCTGAGCGCTCAGTTTTTCAAGACCTCAAATATGCAAACAGAATCCTAAAAGTTACAAAAACTTCCGCATTTTTCGTGCTGCAGCAGATTTTCTGGTGCGTTGTTTAGCCAAGGAGATGTTCACGAAGCGAATATGCCACAACAGGCGAATCCTTGCAAAGAGGTGCACAAAGGCTTTCTTGCATTCTTCAGAGCAGAATTTTCGCCTTCCCATACAACTGTGCAAAATGCCTGCCAAAACTCCACTCACATTAGGCAGGTGTGCCACAACACCGATATATTCCAAAAAGCAAGCTTCCATGGCCTTAATATCCTGAAAGCAATCGTCAGAAGGCATTGTTACATTGCCAAATAAATCTGAGGAGATGTTGCTTGCCTTAAACATAGCAAAATACTGGTGTGATGCACAAAGCTGGCGGTCGGCATTCTTCAAAAGGGTGTTGCACACACAGTGTGGAGGCCTGTGCAACAAAAATTGCCGTACGAGATATCCCCCAACATAGTAGAGAACGTTATCCTCTACTATATCATGGCTAACGGGCTGTTCCTCATCAGGAAGCATATTGACTGTTCGTGCTGCATCACAAGTAGTAGGAAGCGAATGAGGTGGCTCTGACATTTGTGCCAACACAGTGCTGCGATCCTGTTCACAGTTTCCTTCTGAAAAAAGGGCAACCAGTTTGCCAACAGAAATGTGTTTCAGACCTGATGTGAACTGAAGCACATTTGGGTTGTCATTGCAGCCATGCTTTAACCTAAGAAGCCCGAAAAGGTTCTCCAGGGGGTCCTGCTGTAGCCAGCGAGTCAAGAGAACACGAAAATCAAAATCTTGGAAGAGGTCGTCCCAGAGGAGAAGGATAGCCTTTAAGGTGACCTTCCATGCCTCAACTGTGTGTGGTTGCCGAGGCCCGTCAAATTTCCACCTTTCAACCCACGACAGGCACTCCCGCAAAAAGGCTAGGTGTTCGGACCCTTCCGAAATTGCATAACGTAACTTGTCACTGGCTTTTTTTACAGAAGAGCTATTCAGACAGTCGAATAACTTATCTTCTCGAGAAAATCAGCTGTTGGTTTGGCGGATGCCGGCAACATGCCAAGAGCAATGTATACATCAATGGCCACTGAGACCGATTCGCTCATCACCTGGCTGGCATATTTAACTTTCATGTTATTGAAAGGCTTCCGGTAAATGTGGTTGTCGGTTAGTTTCTTTGCCAATTTGAGTTTGAGAGAATGCGAGCTTTCGTATAGTTGCGTAATGAAAGACCAATCCACAATTTCTTGCCCGATATGGAGCTTGTAAGGTACGCGGAGATTATTCCTTGTGCATTTAAGTAAGTGTGGTGTGTCATATAGGAAATAAATCTTGCGGCCTTCAAGCACAAAAAACGGCTCTTCAGGCGTCACACCTAGCTTACTTGCCAAAGTGATGTTGCTTCCCCCCTGGTCGCAGATGAGCGCCTTCACAAACAACCGGGCTCCCTGCAGCTGCTTGATTAATGTTATGATCAGCTGATGAAGAGTATCTGCGGGCGTTTTGGTCCTTGATACTGTGTAAGCAACAGGCTGAATCCACGTTTTTGAAATGCCTGCCACAAATATCAGGAGCGCTGAATTTGCCATGGCTGGTGTTCTTTGCCTACCGTCATCGGAGAATCCCATCACAATGTCATGCTTTGCATCATACTGCAGATGTTCCTTCAAGGACATTTCGTCAAATATTATTGTGCACGCACGATCTGTTAAATGCCAATTTCGGGTAGCTTCTTCAAGGGCTTCAATAGCGGTTGGAATAACTCCGGGAGTCATCGGAATATTTGATAACCACTGCTTTAGCGACCTCACAGTTGGCATGTCAAGCAGTCTTGACAGATGTCTGTACGCTTTCGGACCATGAAAGTATAAGTTTAAAGCGAACTGGCGGTGCTCGGGGGACCACCTCCGACCTCTATATTTCACGCCATTAATTTTTACTTGAGTCTCAAGCAATCTAAAGAATGTCTTGCGGACGTAGGGCCTGATAGCATTCAACGCCTCGGACTGGGAAAGCTTTTTAATTTTTCTCTTGCCAATTCTTGACAGTGCCTTCCGAAGCCTTGAATTTACCTTCTCCAGGTTCTTCATTTTTCTGGCTGTCCGGGGTGAGCACCTAGAAGGCTTGTGTTGTCGACCCGCTGGATCGGAACCTGAAAGATTTAGAAAAAAGCTTATTTATACTGTGTTTTTGTGAAAGCTGACCATGATCTTTAAACCTAGTAAAAGTTCTAGCGGCTTGTAGAATTGAAGTGATTACTTCCATGAGTAATCAGTTGGTCATATTTAGTTCTCGACCCTTCACTTATTCAAACTTGGGGCATTGGGAACAGGCCTCTGATAAGCACACTGCTGGGCATTGAGCCTACTAAGCAGCGTGGGCAACATGAAGCATCAACTAATTTTTCCTAATCATTAGCATACTCCTTGTTAACAAACATTATTGGTTATACGTTTAAAATGGTATGTTTAGGAAAAAAACAACGAATTCATAGTCTTATTTAAAAAACACTAATCCCTCTTATAATAATAATAATAATAATAATATCTGGGGTTTAACGTTCCAAAACCACGATATGATTATGAGGGACGCCGTAGTGGAGGGCTCCGGAAATTTCGACCACCTGGGGTTCTTTAAGGTGCACCTAAATCTAAGCACACGGGCCTCAAACATTTTCGCCTCCATCGAAAATGCAGCCGCTGCGGCCGGGATTCGATCCCGCGACCTGCGGGTCAGCAGTCGAGCGCCATAACTACTAGACCACCGCGGCGGGGCACTAATCCCTCTTAGGAGGCGACAAACAAGCAAGAAAGGGATCGGACAAGCACTAGTCTCGTCCTGCCTTTCGGTATACATCGCTCTGGTTCTCGTCTCCTAGCAATGAACTAGCTTGCCCAGCTGACACCCTAGTGCACTTTAGGATCTGTTAAATGGTACGTGACATTAGAACGATAGCTGCAGGGCATTCATTTATCTGGAATAGTTTTAAAGAGCTTAGAGAGCAATACAATTTGCGTACATGAGGGCTCAGTCTGTTGAACTTCTTCATCGGCGCTGTGAGCGGGCATTGCAGTGGTATTCGCGGGCCGAGGAGAGCCTGTGAAGAGAAATTGGCGGAGCACAGATTTCAGCGTGACATACATACAGCTGGTATTAGGCGTCACATTAAATATTTGCAATTACAATCACTCAGGTCATTTTCTCACTATTAATTGGTCTCCACGCGTATTATGTCTCAGTACGAGTAATAAAAAAAGTGTAAACACACAAAAAGAGAACGCTACGTGTCACTCACTAAATATATGGGTGTCCCAACTATCCTAAACCAATATTTTAAAAATCTTAATGCGATGTGCCTAGAACAGGTTAACATCGTGGTGCCCGGGATGACATAGCGCGTAACCGAATTCTTGCCAATTACACTTATTTGGCCTATTGAAAATAAAAGTAATTTTGTAATAATAAAGCTAATAAAAATAAAGTACCTTTTGGATTCTTAATTTTAAAAGCGACTTTGAACTAGGGTGTCGTAGAATATATATATATTTCTAAAAGGCCAGTTCTGTTGCTCCCACTGTCAGAGCTATCGCGCAATTGTTTTAACAGCGACACCAAGTTGGCCGCTACTCACTTGCCATGTGCAAAATAGCTGATAACGCGCCACATGGAGTACTCTCTCAAGTTATCAGGTCATTTTCGCCTTTTCCTGTAAAACGCTACGCCACGGGTAAAATAGCAGAGACAACTGAATCAGAATCGAGGAGGTTACATGTAGAGCGTTCTGAGTGAGACGTTTGCTCTAAATTTAACGATTGTGAAGCCGGCAAATTTTTTACTTAGCTAGTTATATCTACCAGCAAAATCATGCCGGCGAATCCATGGATGCTGTGTACACCATGCGTTGGTATTGTTGGTGTAATATGCGCGAGAATCTTAAAAATACTGAGTCATGATAACTCGAACAGGTACACATATTGAGTATTAAGACATTTCTGTAAATAGATGTAGAGGCATGAAAGTTTGTGCTGTTGTATGATCACTTTACAGTATTCCCACCTGGACTTTCGACTTGTGTCTGCCCATCGCCAAAGATGGAAACTGTTGGCACAGCACATTTTAGCAGCCTTGTCTGTCCAGGGTCTGCGTAGTCTCTGCTGGTGATATTGGGCAGAGCACAGGCAGTAGCTGCTGTAGATCTGACGAGGTGGTAAATGAGCCAGGTCCTGCCGTCTCGCATACTGAAGCCAAGCGCGGGATCTGGAAAATCAATGTGTGCGTGTGTAGTATTTGGGTTAGAATGGATGTATTTCTGTTTTCAGGCGTAGATGGATAGCTTTGAGTGAAAACTGGCATCTTTATTCGAAGTAAGCGTTATTTGATACATTTCTCATCTTCCTTTCTTAATTGAATTTTTGTAACCTAGACGACTTGTGATAGCAATCCTGAAAGCAAACTTTAAAATAAAATCTGTCTTTATTATTAAGAGACGCGGATACATGCTTCTACTTGCGCGATAGTAATGTTTGGTGGCAACGACCCCAGCTTTCCTCCTAATTCAAAATATATTTTTGCAGACAATAGCAATCATCCCACACCAAAATCTCTAAACAACTATTCGTACATATATACCCTCGCGCACTGCGTATTCCTCGGGTATTTCTCGCGCCCTGCTGCAAATCTTTCATAAAAACCTTATTAAAACCGGTAATAAATTAGTAGAACACGTAAGTTTACATTGTCCAATTATTTATGGGCTTTTAGCTGCAATTGCATTCTTGTAAATATATCGTAATTGTACTTAAGGCTGAAACTGAAAACATGAAATTGAAGTATGCATTATAAATTATTACTTTATAAATTTATTGCTAAATTCCTCTGCAATATGCTGTGAATTTACGTGAGGCCAAAATGAGAACACACAATTGAAACGCAATAATATAATAACATCCGTCTAAACTCGCAAGTGTAATAATTTATGTACTCAGTACTTAATTAACATAGTACTAACAACACATGCTATGAACGTATATGGACCCTCCCTTATAGCCAAAAGATTATGGGAATCGCCTTCCTCCAGCTATGGACATAAATAGGCTGATAATATTCAAAAAATAATAACGCATGCAACGAGAACAGACTGAACGCAGGCAATCAAAAGGTAATAAAAAGAGTGCGGATAAGCTTACACTGTTCTATTAGTTACTGTATATGCTGCTACAAATACATTTGTGACATGCCTTGCATTGCCTTGAGCCAAAGTGCAACATCGAAATGCAATGCACGATCGAAACGCATTAAATTGAAAACGCAAGTATAAACAATCGTGCGTAGCAAATGTATTCGCTGGAATAATTTCCAGATGCTCTGCCGTGATGGATGGATGAAAAAACTTTATTTCGTCAGAAAGCAACTGAGGATGATTCCGTGTTAGATGGCCATCAACCCAAGGTTGGCGGCGACCTGTGTGGCCCACTCCACGACCCTTAACTGGACGACTGGGTCCTGAGCTGGTCAACACGGCCTCCCAGTGCTCAAGAGAGGGATCACGCATACTATCCACCGGCGGCGGCACTATGCTACATTCCCAAAGTATGTGATCATATGTTGCTACAGCCTGACACAATTTGCATTGCGGCTTAATCTCCTCCGGGTACATTTTGTTCAACACGTAAGGGTTGGGAAAAGATCGCGTCTGCAGTTTTCTCCAGACGCATTCCTCCGCCTTAGTCAACCGCTTGTGTGGGGGCGGGTAAACCCTCCGCTCTAGTTTATAATGATTCGTTATGTCATGAAAGGACACCAGCCCATCTCTCGCGGACCTCCCCGGAACTGGCGGCTCACCTACCCCGCTGACGAAACCTCGAGCATTCAGGTGAGCCGCCTCGTTCCCAGGGTTCCCAGAGTGTGCTTGTACCCAGACAATTTCTATTTCTCTCATTTGTCGTCCCGTTGCCCCATGCAGAAATCGTGCGGCGGTCGCCGATATTTTGCCCCTCGCCAGATTTCGGATGGCTGTCTTTGAATCACTGAAAATCAAATCTGACTGCGAATTAGTTATAGCTAGCGCTATTGCCGCTTCCTCTGCAGTTTCCGAGGAGCGGGTTTTTGACCGATCCAGAGGCGACCAAGCGCCCCCGCCTGTCCACCACCACAATCACAAAAGCGTCTTTGTCCTTATATTCCGCAACATCTGTATAGACTGCTGCTTTGTACTCGCCGTACTCAACGTGTAAAGCTCTGGCTCTTGCCTGCCTGCGCAGCGTATGGTGAATCGGATGCATATTTTTGGGCAAAGGTTTTATGTACAGGGCCTTATGTAACTCTCACCGCACCTGAATTTTAGTGTCCCCAGTGGGAGCCTCTGCTCCAATGCCAATCCTTTCCAATATAATCCTGCCCGCTTTGGTTGTCGAAAGCCTAGCGTGCTGCATCACCAGATGCGCCTCCCATAATTCATCCAGGGTGTTGTGTACCCCTAGTTTTAACAGCCTTTCTGTAGGCGCGTTGTTAGGCAACCCAAGCGCTGCCTTGTAAGCTTGCCGGATCATAGCCTCGACCTTACCTTTTTCTGCGGCATCCAACTTCATATAAGGTGTCGCGTAAGTAATCCTGCTGAGCACAAACGCCTGTACCAGCTTACAGAGTTCTTTTTCTTTAACCCCGCTTTTACGGCTAGCGATTCTTCTGATTAGCCTGACAGTAGCATTGACCGTGGTCTTAAGTTTTTTAAGGGCCACCCTATTCTTCCTGTTAGTTTGCAGATATAGGCCAAGAATTCTAATCGTTTGAGCTTTAGCTACTGGCCTACCCCCTACCTTTACCTCTAACGGCGGTGGCAGAACATAGTGTCTTGCATGTAGCCCTCTGGGTTTGTCCCGAACCACAAAGAGCTTGGACTTTGGCTGAGAACATGAAAGTCTCGCTTCCCCTGCCAACTCTTCGACAATATTAACTGCCTGTTGCAGTGTTTTTTCCAGATGCGCGTCACCACCCCTGGTTACTTAGAGTAATATCATCTGCATAAAATGTGTGTTTAAGTCCCGGTATCTCCTCCAGCCTCGGCGGTATTTTAATTAAGGCGATGTTAAACAGGAACGGTGACAAAACTTAACCCTGCGGCGTCCCTTTGCCTCCCAACGCGAATGAGTCCGATTTGATATCTCCTATTAAAATTTCTGCGGTTCGGCCCTCCAAGAATGATCTGAAGTAGCGAAATGTCCTGACCCTGGGCCAATTCCCGATAGGTTATTCAATATTGCCTTATGCGAAACATTGTCGAAAGCTTTATTCAGGTCAAGCCCCAATACAGCTTTGGTGCCCGTGCCATGCCCGGGATCGACTACATCATGTTTTAACTGTATCATGACATCCTGTGTGGACAAATTGGCCCTGAAACGTATCATAGTTGGGGGAAAGATGGCCTTGTCCTCTGCATAATTCTGAAGCCTGTTGAGAACCACGTGCTCGATCAATTTGCCCTTGCATGATGTCAGCGATATGGGGCGCAGGTTTTCCAAGCAGAGTTTCTTGCCTGGCTTCGGAATAAATATAATCCTAGCATGCTTCCACTGTGCTGGGATCTTCCCGGCCACCCAATACTCATTTATCAAGTCAGTGATCGCCCCGACCGATTTGAAATCTAGGTTTCTCAGCATTTTATTAGTAACTCCATCCGGACCTGCGGCAGACGTAGTACGCAGCTGCCCCATGGCAAACTCCACCTCCGCAATTGTGAACTCATCTAGGTCTGAGTTTTCCACCCCCGAGTAGTGTGGTAAGCAACCGTCTACTCCATCAGCTATGTACCGATTCCAGAGTTCCTGTATAAACTCTCCAATTGTGCCTTCATATTGATGCATTAACCGAGTCATTTGTCCCCGTTGCGCCGATTTTGTTGCTGCCGGATCCAAAAGATGCCTTAACAGCTGCCATGTCTTTTTGCATCCAAACTGTCCATTCATGCGATCTCAAATCTGGCCCCACTGCTTGGCTTGCAACTCAATTGTATAATTTTCTATTTTACGTTCTAACTTGGCAGTCCTTCTGCGAAGAACGCCATTATGTTTTTGCTTCTTCCACCTTCTCAAAAGACTCGCGTGCGCTTCCCACATGTGTAATAGTCTCGAGTCAGCGGTAAACTCCTCCTGCTCGACTCGCACTTCTACCGTGGTATTATTTACATCCTCCTTGAGCGCTTGTACCCATGCATCCAGGTCATTAATTTTCCCGTTTACAGTGTCTGCTCTGTTTTTCCTAAATCTGTCTCAATCTGTAATTCTATGCCCCCTCACTTTGTCTTTACGCTTCGCAGCGCTAAACGTCGTGGAAAGGATATAGTGATCACTTCCTAGGGCTTGCCCCGTGTTAATCCACTTTGCATTACTGATGCCTCTAAAGAACGTAACGTCTGGGGAGGTATCCATGCTTATGCTGTTGCCTATCCTCTTATGATCTTGTGGATTGTTTAACAGCGTCCATCGCAGATCCCGGGCAACTTGCCAAAGCCGATTGCCCTTTGGGCTGGCTCGACTATAACCCCACTCCGGGTGAGGCGCATTGAAATCTCCTACCACTATAAGCGGAGCGCGAGCTACTAACCGTTGAGTTTGAATCAGGAGTTATGGCAAGCCCAATCCTTTATCTTTTGGAGAACTATACACATTAAGTAAAAACAGACTCTTCTCATACTTTCGTTTAGGCAAAATCTCAAGCAAGACATAGTCTTCCCTGCTGCTATCTACGGAATGCTGAATGGCAGTGATGTTGCGATGAACTAGCACGGCTGTGAAGACGCGTGATACGCCCCTTGAATCAATTCCTGGCGCTGTAAATGCCTTAAATCCAGGTAATTTTACGGAACCACTAGCCTCCTGTAAGGCTATTATGTCTGGTTTACTGTCCAGATTTTGTACGTGCAACTGCAGGTTACCCAGCTTTTGACGAAAGCCCTTGCAGTTCCACTGCCAAACCTCAATTTGCTGGCGAGGTGCCATAATGAGGCACCAGGTTGACTAATGGCACTTGGCCACCCACGGGAGGCAGTCTTGCCTCCAATAGAGTAGGAAGCTGCTGAAACATGCCCATGGCCTGGGTTTGGGAATCCCTAAATTCAGTGGAGAGCATGCCGAGACGCTCCTCTATTGTGCCTAATCTGGCTTCTATCTTTTCGACTCGAGCCTCCAACCTATCCTGTCTTTCCCCTTGTTTGCCTACTTTATCCGCAAGTGTTGTTATATCCGACTTAAGACTAATGACCTTAAAAACAGGCTGTGGCATGTCTACTGGTGACGTTTCGGCTAATCGTTTTGCGTTAGCTACCTCATCCCCCGGCAGTGGTCTCTTCACTGTCCCCCGATTCTCCACTTCCATAGCTGCACTCTCCAGTACGCGAGCAAACGCCTCTTGCGTTGCTTTCTGTAGGCCTTGCACTGCTGGTGCCTGTGTCCCCTGCCATTGGTCGTTTGTAAGTGCGCGTTCCATCTCTGCAATTCTGTTTTCCATTCTTTTAATCAAGTCTCCCTGTCGCTGAACCAGCGCTGCTAACTCCCTCTCTCGAGCGGTTTCGTTCTGGGAGGCCGTGCTTGACAAGCTCACCTTTTTGTTGGTGTCGCGTGCGCAGCTGTTGGTACTGGATGCTCGTCCACCATCTTGGCCGCCCCCACGCCCTGGCAATGGCGGGAAGGAACTCGACCGGTCCCTGCTTTTGCGTCTGCCTTCTTTACCCCTCGGTGACCGCTCCGTGGCCCTCGAGGACCGCTTATCGTTGCCAGCTTCGCTCTATCTTTCGATGCTTTGCTGACGGCCTGTCGGTGGCTTGCGAGCCAGGCGAAACTTGCAGTTCCGGCTCCCTGTGTGATGCGCACCATGGCACACGATGCAGTCCGGCGTGCACGTAGGTGGCTCTCCTTCTGGCGGGGCAGGATGGTCCTTCCCGCAACGGTGACATAGGTTGCTCTTCGGACGATAGCAAACGTCCGCTCGATGTCCAACTCGTCTGCAGTTGTAGCAGGTCTCGACTAAATTTCTGTACGGGATCACAGCGTACAGACAGTTCCAGTAAGTAATCTGCCGGGCTATGCGTTTTCCCCCGAACGTAATCTGAATAGCCTTTGACTTTCCCAGAGGTCTCGCATCCAGAATGTTTATGCCTTCATTCTTCTTCAGGAATCCCGCCCGAACTTCTTCCACTGGGCATCCATCATAAGCATTGTAAATCACTCCCCGCACAGAGTTCTCCAACGGCGCCACGAACGCCGAAACCGGCAGGTCACGATCACCCAGCTTGAGCGTCTTCACAGTCGCATATGCCCCACTGCGATTTATGCACGGTGTGCTCACCGCCAACGTGTTGTTTGTGCCATTAACCCGCACAATGTCTTCTTCCGCGGCAATCGCACTCGTTAGACGCGCTGCTGCTCTCAGTGCACATCCGAGTTCTCTCGCTGTCACAACACTCAAGTCCCAGTTCTGGGGCCTGTACACAATCTTGAAATTCGTGGCTGGCAACTTGAGAAACGGTCCGCGTTTCTTCCATACCGGCGCTTTCCCCCGCTTGACTTGCTGCGCTCCGTGCGTCTTGCGCTCGTCGCTGCCTCTTGGCGCTGTCGCCATGCTGAGTCTTCTTAAATCGGTCCTGTGCCTTCAGCACTGGAGCCCACTCTCCCGCTTCAAAATCTTCGGGTGTTATAGTCTCCCCTTCGACGTAGTGTTCCATCTTCAGCCAAACAAGGCCCACGGTCACCGGGCGCAAGTAAGACGCCGGGCGACGCGGCCCAGGCCAGGCTTGGCCTAAGAGAAAGGCCCAGCCTTGCCACCGCGGGGTTGATAGGAAAATCTCGGAAAATCCAAAAACGGGGACAAACTTGCCTAAACGAGTGGTGTCCGTAGGTACAGGGCAACCTCCTGCAGACGAGCCCACTGACAGCAAGTCCAGAAAAAAGCGCGTCCGCCGATAGTCGGTCACCGGGCCGGAGCTCATGCGAAACACGTCCGCGCAGCGTCTCACTCCAGCCGCCTCCTCATGCTCTGCCGTGCATGTCATGTATAATTGAAGCCAAAAAGCAGACAATCAAAATGTAATGAATAAATCATGTACGTGTAGCTCAATTAAATTACACAGCTACTGCAGCAACCGCATCCTGATATGCCGTGCAAGCGTAGAAAGACAAAACGAGCAGCATGCAGATCGTACCTTTCGTCCACCGGGATCCGAAAGAATTTTATGCCGGTGTGTCGTGAAGAATTCCGACACCAGTCAGCGCAGCACGATTTGTGATGACGGCGAGAATCCATGGATGCGTCTGTTTGGCTGAAGTCCAAACCACATAAGCGCGAAAATGCACGCGACAGCAACGAGCGACGCTATGAGCGACGAAACAGGGCGTTCGCGCGACGTGTCGCGTGCTCGTTTTCGCGCGATCGCTCGGTTCTCCAGATTTGGAAACCGTCGCTCATCGCCCGGAAGTGCTGGGCTCAAGCAGCCAATAGCGAAATACCGGAAAAGACAAAGACTACATAGGTGCACGTGACCCTGCCCAAGTTACGTATGCGCAACAAGAAATAACGCAATGTTTATGCATGTGCATATAAAAAAAGTGCTGCAAGGCAATAATAAACACTTTCCGTTTCATTACACAACAATATATCTTATTTTTAAATTGCATACCGCTCGCTACGCGGTTTTCTTGGTGCGAGTTGACGGCCTCATGCCAGCAACAGTAAAATTCGCTCGCCGAAGCCGTCGCGTGAATGAGGTTTGCCTGCGCTAGCGACTGATCGCGCGACGACGATCTACGTCGCGTCGCTCGTCGCTGTCGCGTGCAGTTTCGCGCTTATGTTAACTTTACAGCGGTAAAAGCGGCCTTTGGGACACCGCAGGCTGTAGCATACATGGGCGCGCGAAAAGAAACGCCCCTTTTTCGCCGTGAGAGGTAGGACGACTGCGCAGTTCCCGTTTTCCACTTCGGGTGGCGCTCTTATTTTCGCAATCTCGAACTGCAACCTTCAGGTTCACTTGTGTAGTAAAAACTCCGGAGTTATTGAGTAACCTAGTAATAACTATAAAATAGAACAAGAACGTTTATTTAGGTAGTACAGCCCTCAAACGTTAGGATCGCTGCGGTCACGGGACAGAAAAACCGCAAAGTTTCACCCTCCTAGAGAGGTTGCGAAACGCTACTTACATAGTGCAGTCCGTCGGTGCTCGTACAGCCGTATACAGGGGAAAAGGCAGGCATGGCGATACTAAATGGTGGTATGTGGGTGTTCTGTGGTGATAATCTCAGTTTTTAGATTTCTTACGCCCACAAAAATGTAAATCCGGCGCACGGTGACGGAGCTGATGCTCGCGCCGCGTATTTTTTAGAGCCAAGAGGGTATTGATACGAGCTCATCGGCACAGATACACTACACTTAATAAAACACATCCACATAGGGGAAGAACAAAGAAGGTTCAGCGTAAACAAACTGTACTAAATTGCGGGCGCCGCCGTTTTGACTTCAAATAACCAGCGCCTCCTCTAGAAAGATGCCTAAGGAATGGCTCGCGCTCCCAGCCGAGTTGGCCTGCCTTCAGTTTTAAAGAAGCTCCGCGCGGTGGCACTCGCGACCGACACAATTAGGAAGTCCGCACCATGACCTACTACACTCCTGACCTGCCCAGAGAGCACCTCTTCCAGCGCCCACGTTCTAGTTCATACCTTCTGCCGCTAGGGCCGTCACCTACGAGCGGCGTGGCGCTAGGCAGCACCTGTTCGCTGACGTCGCTTTGAGCGTCTGTGGTCATTTTTTGGCCAGCAGTACACTCACAGTACGTATTTATTATGCACAACTAAAAAGTAATTCAAAAATATATATACTATAAGGCATTCAGTATTTTTTGCCATTAAATGGACGCGCCATCACATAGGCTGTCCTACATGCACAATGTAAACGTCTACGGATTCCCACGTTTGTCAATCAGTGTGCAATAAACAGTTAAGCGCACTGAACAGCTTACTTGACCAGCCATCTAAGTGAAGAAATAGTCACATATATGCCAGCAGTTCACTACGAAATGCAAGCATTCTTACTCCAGCGTCGTAAAAACAACCGCAAAGTAGCAGACGAACAGGTTATAGGTAGCGCCACCTACGGCGAGCGATTGAACGAGAGCGGGGACACGCGCTCCCATAGGAACCCCGCTATCTGAACAGGTCAGGAGTGTAGTAGGTCATGGTCCGCACTAGAGATCTATCGAACTTTTAAGCAGGAAATTGCCAAAGAAAGGATCTATGATAATACTCGGGGTAGTGCTCTACTCTTTGAGGCCAGGACGGGAGTACTGCGAACCAAGACATATCGGCCAAATACGAAGGGGTAGACACAGTATGCAGTGCGTGTGGAGAAGAAGAAGAAACTGCCGAACACTTAATAATGTTCTGTAAAGGGCTTCACCCTATAGTTCAGGATGATGGCGCAGAGTTTTTCAAAGCACTGGGGTTTAGGGACCGGGAGGGCAAAATAGACTTTAAGCGGGTAGACTTAACTAGAAGGAGGTTATCTGATTGGCGGCTAAAGTCAAGGCACGAGTGAAAATTAAACTCTTCACTGCAAAGTACAAATCCTCAAACTCACCTTTTAAGGAAAAAAAAAATAAATATATTTTTTTATTCATTAAGTATCACGACTTGATGGCGCTAGCCACCGCCCGATCTAAAGCGTTTAGTCATACTCATCCATCCATTTATCTTTCTATTATCACGGCGACGCGCGGTATTAGCCACGGAGGAAGGAAGTTTTCTTTCCTCCGTGGGTATTAGAATACATTAGCTGAGCTTTTTTCATCTGCGGCCCCTATGGGCGCGTCAGTCGAAAGTTATTTGAGACCTGCAACTGTGCATCACCGTTTCGGAGGCAATGCAAAGTGTTGCGTTGTTGCACCGTCCGCCACGAGTGACGCTAGCGACTGCGAACATTTTCAATATGAAGGAGAAAAAGAGTGTGGCAGCTTTTTTTTTTTTTTCTCATGCGGCAGGCATCTTCTTAGAAAAGGCGTTGACATAACAAAAAAAAAAATCAAAACGCTGAGCTTCAGTGTTACCAGATAGCACAAACCTCAAACAGCCAAATTGAAATTCGTAATAGCCGAAAATGCCCAAACGTAGCAAAATGCGTAAATATGAATTAGTCCTAAAATAGTCCAAATCATTTGTTTCTAAAGAATTTTTTTCGCACTTATGAAGTTACTTTTTAACGAAAATTTGTGCCCGCTAGTTTTTTGGTGAGCAAAGAGGGGCACATGCATGGTACCCTTTTCTTTTTTCTGTGTGTGTGTGAGTGCGTGTGTTTTGCTGCTCCATCATAATATTTTGTTTTTTATACTCGAAACAACGATGTGGTTACTGTAGGACACAGAAAATATTTGTTGTCACTTGACAAACAGAAATGGCTGCAAGTGGCTAATGTTGGTTCCTTTTGTCGTGCTTGATTCATTGTAGAGCACAGTTATAGTCATTTGCCATTAATATTCGGCTTTTTTGAGCCTGTCTGTGCTCCGCCTGATGATTAAGATTTGACCGTGAAGAGAATTACCGAAATTCCATTCATTTCTCTACGTATCAGTCAGACATTGAGAGTCAATGAACACGTCTTATTGCCTGAACATCATGCGTGTGTGCTAAAGTTCTGCTGCCCATGATGATGGTAAATTGATTACTGTGCTTGAATGCCAATTCGCAGGTCGCCGGATTTTATCTCAGCAGCGGCGACCACAGTTTTGATGGAGCAGAGCGTCTGAGGCCTGTGTACTAAGAGATCAAGGTGCACGCTAAAGGGCCCCACGAGGTCGAAATTTCCGACACCCTCCACTACGCTTCATATGATGGTTTTTGGGGTGTTAAATCTCTATAACTACTATGAGCATTTTGTTCATGAACTTTTTATTGCACAGTAGCAATGACATACATTGGTATATTGCACTATTGCTATGACACATATCATTAAACACTTGAATGATTGCAGAAGAGTTGATAGGCGGGCCTGTTGATAGAAATTCATTAGAGCAACTTGGTAGTGCAAACAAACAGGACGAACTTTCCAGCTACTTTTAGTCTATAGTTTTCAATGTTAAAATTAAAAACTAAAAAACTGGCTGTGTTTTGGGAACCACACAGTTTCTTACAGTCACCGCTGAGATCGAAACCGAATCGGTCCTGAAACGTCGGGTCAGTCTTTAGTTTTAATATTAACATTAAAAACTAGAGTACTAAAAGTGGCCAAAGAATTCATTTCCCATAATTTTCACCCAGCCACCCACCCAGACAGCTCTCTGCCAAATATCTTTACTTTTAAAGCATACATTCACTACTCTGAGCATGTTCGTATGCGGTGAATTCACTTGCGCAGATGTCAGAGCCACAGCGTGTCCATAGCATGCTAAAAGCCCAATAATAATATCCCTGTAGCCAAAAAATAGAGACAAGCGTACAGTGTCTATTCAAGTGTTGTTGCCAGCATGACGCATCACTTTCCAGAGCACTGCCTCCTTGTAGCACGTAACACGACTGTAAAATTCGAAGAGCAAACAACACGGGAACATGACACACAATCTTTATTCTTCGCTGTGTTGTCAAGAAGAGCAAGAAAGAGCGAAGGATGCATACCCCTTCTTACATGCACGCTCGCCCTCCGCATGCGTCGAGGTGGGATTACGATGGCATAGCCATGATAGTAGCGGGTTGGCGCTCCTAGGCTGCGCGCTGTGTGAACTTTGGCTAATAGTGTATACCTCTTATTCGAGTGTAGCTCTCTCTCAGTGTGAAACTACCCAGCCAAGCCTGATAGTTCTATTTGCGTTTCAGCAGCACGCCATGTCTGCTGCCCACCCAAAGTGTGATACACTATGAGAGAATGCAATGCTGACAACAGGCAGTTTTTTTCAAGCGCCTACCATGCTCAGAACCTGTAGAATTCTTTTAGTCAGCCTAGCCAAATAGACCTCAGAAAACCAAGACAGTTTGAGCCCGTCCAATGGCATCTCGATACTTTCCTTCATCTAGTGCAGGCAAGACTTCTTAAGTGCAGCCCTCATACTCGTCGTGACAGCATTTTTCACAACTTTAGAGTGCCCGGAATGAAAATCAAGGACACACGCACAATGTTGCCACGCACAATGCACACACGAACTGTGCACACACGCACAATGTTGCCAATAATTGTTCGAAGCCAGTTAGGAGAGTTGTGGCAATCTATAAAATTCATGTGTAAAACTCTGCACATCTATTCAACCTGTAATCGGGGACGAATGATGAAAACATGCAAATGAATGTACCCAGTAATTTACAGTGAGATCTTTTGACCTTGAAGAATCGCCGGAGTTGGCCTTTAAGGGGCCCGTAAAAACCTCCAATATTTTTTCAAGCATTTCAAGTAAACATGCGTATTGTGTGCAGAGTGCCGTCGATTCTGCATGCGGCAGCGCTGCGAGCAGCCAACGCGCCACGAATTCCAAGAAACAATTCCTTTTTCTTTTCGGGCCTCCGCGTGACGCGCCGTGCCACATCTCTGGCGCGCTGAGCCAAATATGCCAAATATGCTGTCGAGCAAGAGCCTACAATTTCGGTCAGTCTGCAAGCAGCTGTTTGCGCTGTTTGTTGTTCGTCGTGTTGCCTGCATGCGTGTAACTTGTGCGGGGCATAGCGTGTCCCCCTACGGATCCATCACGTTGGCAATCCTTTGAAGGCATGTGCGCAACGCAGGTTCTATACCGGCACGATTACGGCAACCATGGTTCGCCAACAAGCACTGATGGAGTCGACGGTTGGTGGCGCGACAACCGGAAGTAGACGGTGTTTCAAGCAGCGCATCAGTGATGATGTATGCCACGCGAGATTGGGAGGGGGACTCGGAGACAAGGCAAAGCGGCATGGGAGAAGATACCAGCAGAGGAAAGCGGTTTCGATAATAAAACGCGTCTGACTCCGCTATTACTGTTTCTGAAAATTCGCACGGCTTTGTGTTTGTTGTACACTCGTGCACAATTTCCCCATAACAACTGAATTTCTACCTCTGAGTAGTTTACGGGCCCTTTAAGACTGAGAAGCACGCATATTTCTGGGAGCCAAAAGGAGGCACAGCTTAACCTCGTTGGGCGTAGTGAAGCATTACATGAAAAAGAGCACCTTCTCAAGAATTGACTGCCCCCAATATCAAACACCAGGCTGAGCTACCATGTTGAAAATGGATAGAAGCCCAAACCTTTGAAAGCACTGACCCCTCAGCTCTCTTTTAATGCCGCCCCGCCGTGGTGGTCTAGTGGCTAAGGTACTCGGCTGCTGACCCGCAGGTCGCGGGTTCGAATCCCGGCTGCGGCGGCTGCATTTCCGATGAAGGCGGAAATGTTGTAGGCCCGTGTGCTCAGATTTGGGTGCACGTTAAAGAACCCCAGGTGGTCGAAATTTCCGGAGCCCTCCACTACGGCGTCTCTCATAATCATATGGTGGTTTTGGAACGTTAAACCCCACATATCAATCAATCAATCTCTTTTAATGCCCATCTTCTTGGCCTCACATCATTCCGTTCTCCCTCGTGAGCTGCCGGAAAAAAAATTTCCTAACCTTAAACCACACTTTTACTATCAACCTGATGAACCTACTCTGCCCCTTATGCCACGCCTTACTTCTTTAATGAATGCTTGTCGGCCGCTCACATTTCTGACATCGTGTTCGCATGACGCAGAGACATGTGATTTGTAAGGTGGCGTTTCTGTGAAAAGGATGCATTGCAGTGAAAACAGGAGAAGTGTCGCTCTCTAGTGTGCATGCGGAAGTGCTCCACAAGGTGGCTTTTTGAACCAAATGCTGCACTGCAGTGGACACAGGAAAAGGGACGCTCTCCTGTGTGAGTGCGCAAGTGTCTCACGAGGTTACGCTTCGCTGCAAAGGATGAACTGCAGTAGCCACAAGAAAAGGGACGCTCACCAGTGTGCATGCGCATGTGACTTACGAGGCGGTGTTTCTGAGAAAACGATGCATTGCAGTGGATACAGCTGAAAGGGCGCTCTCCTGGATGAATGACCATGTGTTTAACAAGCTGGCATTTCATTACAAATGATGCATTGCAGTGGACACAGGAAAAGGGACGCTCACCAGTGTGAGTGCGCATGTGTATTACAAGGTTGCCCTTCATTGAAAAGGACGCATTGCAATGAACACAGGAAAAGGGACGCTCTCCGGTGTGCACGCACATGTGACTTACAAGGTGGTCTTTCTGAGAAAAGGATGCATTGCAGTGAACACAGGGGAAGGGACCCTGTCCTGTGTGAATGAGCATGTGCTTCACGAGCTGTCTTTTCATCACAAACGATGCATTGCAGCGGACACAGGAAAAGGGACCCTCCTTTTTGCGGCAGGAATGCAGTCGATCTTGTACGGACGCCAATGCAGAAGACTGCTCCAGAGACACGAAATCCAAGGAACCTGCAATGACATCAAGAACACACAAAAGCAACGTTAATTATGATACTGCACAAAACTCAAATTAGAAAGCTTTACAAACTCAAACTCAAAACATGCACAAAACTCCAAATTCGAAAGCTTTTTGTCTCGTTTCGGGACTACCCCGCACTGCATCGCTTGCTATTGTGTTGTGGTTCGGATTATCCAGCACTTTTTCATCTGCTGCCATGCTATAATTTATAATATCAATGTATTATTTTTATCGTTACATGACATAGACTAGCTGTACTCAAATTTTAGGGGCAAAGCACTTTAAGCCATGGGTTTGTCCCTCTTAGCACGTTGTGGTTCATGACCGCCTAGTTCGAAGACTCACTCAGCAGGTGCAGACGGGTGAACAGACAGATAGACGGAAGCAAGGACGAATGGAAACACGGACAGAAGCACGGATGGACGCTTTGCCTTATTAATCATGATTCACTCCGAGGATGTGCTACGATTTTTTAAATGTGAAGCATTTCTTAGCGACTTAGAACTTCGGCGACTGAGTCTGTCTGTCTCTCGGCCGGTCGACCGACCGACTGACCGACCGACCGACCGACCGACCGACCGACCGACCGACCGCCTAGCCACTTATGTTTGGGTGCTCTCATGGTCACCCCCTTGGCATGAACCAAAATTAGAATGGGAAGATAAGATGGGTTGACGAATATGATGCACTGGTCAAGACATGAATAATGTCACCAGCCCGTTGCATACGTTGTCAACACTACCCGCAAGACAGTGGCACACACCTACCGGCAAGTATGTGCCACAGATGATCGACACTTAATATTTGCCCAGAAACGATGTGAACACACACGGGCAATTTTAACGCGTGAGCGTTAAGATATACACGATATCGGTAGCGTGGACCCGACGAATGCAAAGAATAAATGTCAAAGTCACAGCTAGAATCGAACTCAAACAATATGTGTGGCAATGAAGCATTTTACCACTTAGCTACCCCAGTTCTCGGAACTACTTTTCAAATAGACGCTAATCTTCATGAAACGTCAATAGTGGTTCCAATGCTGCTTACCCAATTTTATAAACATTACATACGCGCTCTTTTGATACAGCCGTCATGTTGGTTTAACGTCAATTGTGGTTAGTTACCATATGCTGAAGTTGATTTACGTAGCAGTGTCTAGGGCCAGCATCCTCGTGAGCATCAGCGCTTCATATCAGCTTCCGGAGTTGATAATATGCATGTTTTAGTAGGCATCGTTACACAAGTGCAAACAACTGGTTATATAAACATTTGCAACTCAACATATGTCTGTGCATGCAACATTTGTACATATATTTAGCATCATTTCATGACGTGTCGCTCAATAAAAAAAATTGCAACATGGTAACTTTTCCTCCGTATGCTTGGCATAACATCGATTCCTAGGTACGTGAAATCTGCCGAATTTTTTTTTCTATACTCTAGGCAACCGATTTATTCCTCACAAGTCGTCTCAATTCAATTACAAATTACAGCGCATAATGGTAGCAGCGAAGGAGGAAGAAGCAGCCAGGGCTCGAAAAAACAGTAGTGGCCACGCAAGACCATGGTGTTCGAGAGGTCATCCAGGTTGGCGAGGGCTACCTGGGAGTACCTGGGCGAGGGCTACCTGGGAAATTTTGAGGCTGGACAGCCTCCTGACGGGTTGTACTCTTGCAAACGCTTGTGTACCGGTCATGCGACTCCTGTCCATTTCTGGTCCCGTTCAACGACTTGCTGGCGTCCACCTGACCGAACATCTGCTTTGCCACCACTCACACGGCTCCTCGTCATGACGTGTCGCGTCGTGCTGATGTTCTACTGAGCTGTTCATCAAACCACGACGCCCCTTCCTGGTCGTCTGGCGAGTGGGGTTACCACTTGGTGGCTGTACGACGGACAGTTGCGCCAACATAAGCGAGGCACTGTCATGTCTAGGTACTGTGTGTAACCCATACGGGACCCTGTTGTATTTGTGTGTATTGTCGCCCGACATCTTTTACATTTGCTTATATTTGTGTGTTTACCAGCCTTAACGTGTTCGGATCTTTTCTTCACCACACGGCACACAAATTAAAGTGACCATCCCTCAATGATTCACTACACCCCGGAATACAGGCCCTGTCAAGGCTGGTGCGCGGCTTGTTGGCCTGTACGACTAAGCCTTATTCAGGGGTGCAATATCCGAAGGACTTGAAGCAATTTTTGGAGAAAAAAAAGATGCGTTTGGGGACAACAATCTAAATTTGGAGCAGCTTACCGGAAAAAAAAAAAATGTGCACTACATTGGCCCAGAACCATGTATTTCGAGCAATGTAACAAAGCAGCCTTACTTTCAGAAAAAACATATACAAACTATTTAACAACAGCTAATTTATGTGTAATGCACATCAACACTGCTATTTCAATAAAAGCAGTCTGCTGACCCACCCACAATGCTAACAATGTCGAAGTTCACATTAGCATTTGGAGGGTGTGTCAAGGCATTTGACAAGCATTGCATATGCTATTGTGAATCTGTCAACCTTGTGATTTTGAAAATCTATAGATTCGTAAATCAAAAATGAGAAGGTGTAGCAAAAAAAGAAAACTGGTGCAAGCATTTGTTTATCGTTTCTCAAAGTTGTGGGACATCGTAAACTGCTCTGAATTATTGAAAGTAATTATTTAGACGTCGGCAATGATACCAGTACTGAGCATGCATGAGTAATGCTATCTCTCATGACAGCAAGTACTAGTAACCCCTGCTAAATCATAGGATACTTTTCCTTACATCAGTGGTGTAGTGAGGCAAAAGTGGCTAATAAAGCGGTCTGCATTTCTTAGAACAAGGCCACGAAGTTTTTTAATCGCTGTCCTTTTTCTTTTTTCTTTCATCGTGAGGTTAGGGTGTAGTGAACAAGTAGTTAAGGTTATGGTTTGCACGTCTGCATCAGATGATGATGTGCAAACTGCAGGTGATTAACACGTCCTATATTTCTTGATAAAATTAGCAGTAGTGAGGAAATTTTGAGGCTGGTCGACTACCCTGGCACAATTCCAACAAATTTCAAAGCTTTGGCTTAGCTTGTTGTAAAAGTAGAGGCCTGTATTGAATAGGCCCACCTATTGCATTCCTGCTCCTTGAGTGTCCTTGATTCTGAAAGGAAATCCTGATTTAGCAACTAATTTAGTGGTTTATTGATTGATCAAGTGATAAGCATCACAGCGTAGTTTAGGTTTCTGCTAAAAGCCTACTTTCTACAGTGCTGTTTCACATATTTAGAAAATCTTGCACCACAAAGTGGCAAAAACTTTTTTTCTTTTTTAAATATTCTTACACTGTTCTACAGAAATCGTCACCTCATCACAAAAGTGCCAAAGCCTTCTTTTTATGCAGTGTCTATAGGATGTTTTCAGTTTACAAGGCCTGTACCACATAGCAAGTAAGACAGGGGGGCAAATTTCGGGCCGGCGCCAGCATGAGCGTGCGCCACAATAATGTCACCCTAGAAGGGGAGTTTGGTGAACGTGCACACAGCGATCCTTGCGGCGACCCACAGAACTATTTGTTTTCCGCCGCGGAATGAGAGCACGCCCACCCGCGGCCTCCAAAGGCGCCTGAGTGTCGTCCACTACATTTGCCACTTGCCAATTCCACTATGCTACTGGATTCAGCTATGATCGTTTTTCACTGACGTGGTCTGCAAAAAAAAAAAAAGTGCAAGTAGAGCATTTTTAGTGCCAGTATATTTATTTATATTTGTTGCATCAGATGCTCTTCAGACAACAAAAAGAATGAGATGGAAGTATTAAAAAGCAGACGATCTGTAATCGTAGCTAGGCGCGTACCTAATATTACTCGTTGTGTAGCTTGAGGATAGATTTTGCAAGTTCTTCAATATAACAGCCCCATACGGAAATACTGCGCATGAAAGAAAGACAGACAGTGATAAATGTTTTTGAGCATATGACGATTGATTCAACAGAAGAGCAGAGACTGCCTCAAGCTGTGAATCAATACTGCGTAAAAAAAAAGAAAAGAAAACTTTCTACCTTTTCAATGCTCCCTCTGACCAAGAACAGCAGCAAGAATAGACAAGGTCTATATAAAGAAGAGATCGAAAATGTGGAGGAAGCAACTGCATCTAGAAAAATTATTTTCGCAGCGGAACGGTCGGCAGGTGCAACACTACGCTAAGTTTAAATTTACAGACATCCCTGACCAACCAAAGATCTTGCGGCTCCCTGAAGCAGCACCTTACGTTTTGGAATGGAGGTTTTATTTACTCGTGCCCAGAAATGAAGCTAAGCCCCAATAATGCTGAAATTACTTATAAAAGCAATGCCAACGCTCGTCACGAGCCAGAAGTCTTTGTCAAACATTTTACAAACCTCCAAACATCCAAATAAGCTACATCGCGATAAAAGTGTGGTTCTCAGTTTCACGTGTTAGCTTGTTGCAGCCTGGCATGAACGATTGGTTCTCAGGAAGTTACAACATAAAACAAGCTTCGGCAGAGAGCAGACACATGAGAAACACTTTTATTTTCTAATTTTTTAATGTGTTTAGTAAGAAAAAATCCCCTGGTATGCTTTTCTTTTGAATTAGGGCATATTGTATGCCATGTTCCCACAAATAGTATTTATACCCTCACATGCGAAGCTGAAAAAGTGGAAGTAAACCTTTTAAGGCTTGTGGACAGCTTCACGAAGCTATTGTGGTACGGTCTCTCTCCCAAGGCACTCTGGCTAGCTTAGCGAGAACTCGTCGTAACGATTTGCTGTAAGTTTGCACTATTGAAAACTGGTGTGTTAACTGCAGTAATGATCCTGTTAAGACGAGCAATGGTCGATCTTAATCATTAGACCAGGCAGATATCATTACACAAAATACAAAGAATAAAAGGAAGGAGAAGCAATATCGCTAGCTTAAGCAAATGTGTTAATTCACAAATGGCGCTTCTACGTTTTACATTTCCGGACTAGGATATTTTTGACCATATAAATGTGCTAGTTTGAGAGCCTGGCCATATTTGATTGCCATAAGACCATGTGAAGTACAGTGTGTTCCGGGAATTTCTTGCCACCTGCCGATTTATAACTAATGTAACCAGGGAGAACATACTGTCACATGGTCGTGACGTTGATGAAGGCAGCAGTTGGCGTATTGAAGACTGAACGCTTTTATTTCGCCTCACTTATGGCTGGAAAACTGAAAGTCAAATTACTGCAAGCATTGCACGCTGTACATGAATATTGGCAAACAGAATGTTGGCTGTTGAAAAAATGACAAGCGGTGAAGTGTGTCGACATTTGCACATGAACCATCAAATTTCCCAGCCGTATCACTGGTCATTGTGCAAGCTCTGAAAATAAGTTCGAGTGTAAGAATGTGGCGTTCAATTTTAACAAAGTGATCTATTACAATGGTTAAGCTACTTGAATACTGAGGCACGGTTCGCACTGAGCATTGCTGATAGTCTTTTGGGGCGTAAACAAAATACAGAAAAAGCGAAATGACAAACGTACGTGGTGATTTATTAAAAACATACGTGGTGATTTATTAAATAACTTTTTAAATGAATTAAAGTGCAGTCGATTCATTTTATCACATGAGTCACATAGTATGTACATATTGAAAATACCAAATATTTTCCAAATAGTTTCGAATATTTTGCACTGGCAGGAAAACCCCTACACAAACATAACTCTGAAAAAACTGAAAGTCATACTTCTCTCTTTTAACCACTAAATTACCTATGTTAATGCATCCCAAACTCTTTCAAAACTAATAAATCTATATCGATTACCGAAAGAAGACATTTCTTTTAAAAATTACACTCTTACTCAGTTTTTACAATGAGAAAGCTGGATTACATTATTCAGTGACTGCCTTCACCTTGTAGTAACTGAACGGGGGTGCCACGACAGCATTCAACTTCACAAATAGCAGGAGATGCAGGTAGTTAATTTTCTACTCCTCAGCTAGCTTCTACACTAGCTAAGAAGGGAAGGTGTGGAGGTTCGGAATGGGTGCCTTTCGATGACCCGAGTGCTCGGTGGCAGCGCGAACGAAGAGCCGTAGTCCGGCCAAGAGAAGCTTTGTTGTAGCCTCAGGCGTCTGCCTGAGTTTAAGCCCCAACCTTTGTTCTCCCCATTTCGAATTCAAACACCCTCTGTTGAACCCTGGGTCAAACAGAAGGTGTCCAAACAAGCCGATCACACATGGGGGCTTATTTAACCACCACCAATCGCATGAACACTTTCATGATGGACACGGTATTGGAAACAAGCACGTCACCATATACAACACGCGAAGGAACAGGTTCTTCGCATGTCGCGCTCTCTCCCATGCCAGGCCATGTTTTGGCTAACCTCATTTGGTATCCATTCTCACGCTAGAGCTCTGTCAGCTTTCTCATTAAACGTCGCTTTGTGAAAGCGTCTTTAAGTGCGGTGAGTACACCATCAGGCCCTGTGCGCTAACCAGGTGCGCATGCGACAGCGAGGCGCCCCGTCATCCTAACAACACTTGGTAATGACGTATAACGGGGGAAGATATGCTCGTCTCCGTGCCGCAACTATGTCTCAGTCAGCCAAGTGGTCGCGTCTCTGCGGCATTCTCAATAGCACACACGCATGCCAACAATGGCTTACACTCGGACGACCGCCCTTGATCTAATTATTGCAAGATGCGCTTTCGAGTAAGCTTTCGCCTTCTTGTTTCAAACGGGGCAACCTTGAAGGCTCCGCTCTAAACCGTGTGAACAAAGGAGTCTCCTTTCTTTCCCGTGTACTGGTCTTCTGCGTTCGCCTTCAGGGAACCGATCGACGTCTTTAGTTGGCGGGTCGGGAACTCTGTGCTCTGCAGCAGCTGCATTACCTGTGCTACACACAACACACCACTAATGGTTGCCTTATACTAACTATAATACTGTTTTTTGTAAAATGTTCATTTAGATAAAGCATTCAACACCATGTTTGTATACTTTCAAGGCCAGTGCTCAAATTGTGATGGCAGGTTTATCTGTTTCATTGCATTTTTAGCTGTACCCGTGATGTGCAGTTCAATATAATTGAATGTTTTTTTGTGTGTGTTTTAAATCTATTTAAAAGTAGGCAACAATGTATTACCTTGATTACTACAGTCACTACTGTATTTCAACCTACCTTAAGAGATATTTTGAAGACCATAGAGGGTTCTTCACAGCGGGTTACCTCAGTTTTATAATTCTGGCAGTATTCATAGTTGGTTAAGTGCAGCCATATTGTTCTTTGGTGAAAGCTTGTGAATATTCACTTGAAATAAAAAGTAGTGGAGCTCTATGACTCTCTTGAAAATCACTATGGCTCAAATGCTATTTAAAAGTATTTGATTAGAATTTGCATCAGATCTGGCATCAGCACTATTCAATATTCAGGATTCAATACCTCTAAACATAACATATTCAATGTTGCTTGAAGAGTCTATAGCCCCAAGCACACTGCACATCTGGTTGTGCGTAGTTTTTCAGACCACAGTTCTCCTTCTTTAGGAGTTGTTAGTATGACGAAAAGCAGTGCAAACTTTTCCCATTCACGTTTTGCTAGCTAACAACAAGAAAAACACAAGGGAGGTTAAAATTCGCAGAGCAACCCAAGGCACCACGAATTTTTCGATGACAGACATCCATGCTCCAGCCACCTGCACAATCTAAAAAAGAGGAAAGTGCTGGTTGCCAGACCTGTCCTGCTTACTGGATCAAAAAGTCTACAGCACCTTTTAGAAAGGCACTGGACAAGTGAGGCGAGGAATTACTGGAGGAGAGGAAGGAAGAAATGAGAAAGCGGGTCAAGCAGCTCATGGTGAAAATTGTAGCGTGCACAGTTGACAAGGACTCAAAGAAGAGAGATGAGCCACCACTATTTAGTCACTCTTCTTTGTGTCTCTGTCAACTGTGTGCACCAAGGATTTCACCACGGACCCCTACCAACTCGGCCAACTATCAGTGTTACTACCAAGAAGCTTCTAGCATACCATAGCAATGAAAACGCCAGCAGAGCAATGGGGAAGCAAAAGAAAGTGAGGAGTGACTTGAGGGCAAGGAGGAAGGAGCTGTTTACTGTGTAACTTAATAGGAAAGTGGGATAAGAAAGTCAGAAAGTCTAGTTGAAGAGTGAAGAGGAGGTGAGAGCGTGGACAGTCATGCACAGCCAAGGCAGGGGGAAAAAGAAGTGACAATGAAGACGACTCAAGAGGATTAAGAGAAAGAGGGCAATATAGAAAGAAATGAAGAGAGATGACAGTAAGAAGATGATAAATGAAAATTGAGAAAGAACTAATCTGCATTCTCAAAGAAGTAGCACTTGCTTGCCAGCTCCACTATTTACTCACAGGTGTGCAAGGGGCTTTAACATATTGGTCTTACGCCAAATGAGGAGCCATACCAGAAGAAACAGCTTGAGGCTCGGTTTGTGTACCGCTTGTTGACAGAATTTTCTTTTCATCTGCATGTGATGCTTTGTGGCAGGTAAGTAGTCGCACTTGAACAGATTTGTGTGCTACGTGGCCTGGCTCACATCGTAGCTCTGGCGATGTTTCTGCAGGTTTCCCCGACTCCCGATGCAGACCAGGTACTGCTGCATGTACTGGCCCTGCTGCAATGTCCTCCTGAAATAAATAAGCTTGTGTTGTTGCAAGTGACGAGGCTACGCATTTTTGCCGAGAAAAGCAAATGAAAGACCTCGTACATTATTGCTTTCGTTACGTTGACTTAGCCTAGGCATGTACCCAACTGTTGCGTTTCCAGAGAGGAGATGCTCAAGAAAATAAACAGCATATGAAAAGATGCGCAACTGGCACATACAGAAAAAAAGAAACATGGTGACAATGCTGATCAACCCTGCAGTATAATCTCTAGGCTTTACATTTTAGAGACCGCATATTGTTCGTCTTTTAGTGGCACGAGTAGTCAGTGACACACTTTGCGTCTCTTCCAAGCATATCCGATGGACCACTACTGATGTTACAAATTTTCATAAAGGAACTTCTTTTTACTTATGAAGTATTTCATAAACAACATGTCATATGCATTACAGTTTACTCATTTTTCTGGTACCTTCTACACAAGTGATAATCATTTAAAATAAAAAATGGTGGCTGCACAGGAGTTGGGAGATGGGGCGGCCGCTTGCACGGTTATTGGCAATTTCAGATGTTTTAAAAATGGGAGGAGGGTGCTTGTTTGCATTTTGTGGTAGGTCTGCTCGTTTCACCATTGTGAGTGAGGATAGATTACATTCTGCTATTAGATGCACTCACTGTGAGTGACCAGATGTATGTTCTTGTGTCATCTTTGTGAAAATAATTGACAGTTCAAAGTTGGCACCCGTATCGTCTCTCTTCGCTGTGACATCATGTTTTCCGCCCCATTGCGCAATGCATTCATAGCTACTAGCTCAGATGTTTTTATCAGAATGCATTGCACAATAGGACAGGAAACATGGCGACATAGCGGAGAGAGATGATACGGGCACTGACTTTGAACGGACAATTATTTCCAAAAAGATGACTCAAACGTAAATCTAGTCATGCAGAATGACTGCATTCAACAGCATAATCTTTCCTCAATCACAATGCTGTAACCAGCATACCTACCACAAAATGCAAAGTAGGCAGCCTCCTCCCATATTTAAGACATCTGAAATCGCCAATGACCATGCAGACCGTGCAGGCGCCTGCCCCATCCTCCAACTTCCCTGCAGCCCCCCCCCCCCCCCCCCCCCCCTTTTAAATGAGCATCACTTGTGTAGAAGGTACCAGAAGAATGAGTAAACTGAATTCAGATGAAATGTTGTATATGAAATGCTGTATAAGTAAAGCATTTCATCAGAAACTCGGATGGGCATTTTTCAAGCAAGCGCCCCTTCTCCAAGTACGGCCTTATTATGCTTCACCATCAGGAGGCCCCTTGCTTGGCTTTTTACGGTAGTTTCTTTTGCAACAGGGATAGGAACAGGCGGCTAACGCAGTTACATGTCAACCCTGTCGTCAAAACAGTTCGACTACTTCTCTAGCTGTTTAATAGCAGCGTAGAAATAGCATGAATTTGTCAAGGAGCACATTTCCACTCTGTGCAATTGAGAGACAAATGGCTGCATAAGGTAAGCATTTTAAGAAAGAATGGTGCTCTCGGAGTTCAACATTTGTGCACATCGCCATTGTTCGATATACATGTGACCGTGAGACACTAGAAATACATGTAAAACTCCGCTCTGTTACATTCCACAAATAAAATGGTATGGTGCATACTGCATTGTCTGGCCAAGTTATTACTTCCTTGGCTATAGTGGAGACACGTTACTTTGCTGATGTCAAAGGAACCGACGAGCTTTGCACCTGTGCTCGTCTATTCCCTTCTGTTGCCCTGTCTCATTGCGCTACTCACAATGGTCTTGCAATTTCGGTATATTGTCCAATACTAGCAAAGCCCTTAAGTGCTCAATTTCTTTTTTAAAGTTTCCAGACTAAAAGTGCCTATTTTTTTTATGGCTGATTTCGAATCTGATTGTACTAGAAAGCAGTTAGACGACGTTGAAAAAAATATTTACATACATACTTGGTCACACCAACTCAATAACGTTTACTTCTGAAAAATATACAGGAAGCCAGCTACCTGCTGCTAATATAAATAAAAACCTTGTAAAGAAAACAGTAGCAGATGCCACATGTTTCTCACTTCTGTACGTTAAGCCCCATTAGGCTATTTCCCTTGGGCAGCTTCAGAAAGTTTTGGTGTCAAAAGTTTCAAAACACAAAATACTGGAAAGCAGCTTCACTGCGAGCACTCGCAGTATTCGCTTTCAAGCTGGCTTCATGATCCCGGAGGAGCTTCCCAATTCACGGTCATTGCTGTCTTCATTTCGTGACAAAAAGATAAACATCTGAATTCAAATCATGGCCCCCGAAGAAGCTTCTTTCTCACGTTGACGAACGAGCTATGCACAGGTCGCCGTCCCCGCATGCCGTCTTCTCATACATAAAACACGCTCCTGCCACAGGAGAAAACTAAATCGTTGAGTAAATGCCGCCTTCTAAAGGATGAAATGCAATCAGCCAAAGACGAGCAATTCTCGTCCTGAACATTACAGGCGGTACGTATTCCGCAAGGACGAGGTCTGCTTGTCCAAAGCCTTCAAGGGCTTAAGTTTAAACTTTTGTCTTTTACTACAACGGCAAAAGTCTTTTCATGAACCAAGCAAGCAGTGAGAAATCTGCTTGTTAGGCTAATAATGCCAGCCAAACTTGGCCCTATTGTTGCTCAAGAACTGCATCATCTTACCGCATGGCACCAGAGCGAAGCACTTTTTTGCGTAATGTCCCCCGCCCCTCTTCCCACACACACTTCTGCGCGCACACACACTGGCTCGCATAATGCACATGCTACGCAAGCAATACTCCATCCAGGAACTAACTAAAATATTAGATGATGTTCTTTTTTTTTTTGCACTGTTTCTGTGAGAATTTTGCCTTCTGGCTTAAGGATGAAAGCTTACTACTTCGAAATAAAGTTGATGCTCGTTGAACAAAAATCAGTTTTCCCACAAATTCTAATGCGACAGACGGATTTACATCATGATGTGAAACTACTGCAAACGGAAAAAGGTGAAAGTACAGTGTCTTCTAATCGAACGCCGGAGCGCGCGTGCAGGCCACGCGCTTCCTTGTTCGCTTTCAGAAAAATTGAGTGTGTATTTTATAAGCAGCGTCAAAATTTCGTATAGACCAACATGCTTATCTTATTTTCTCCTGCTATGACTGCAGGTCTTTAGAAAAATACAGTAATTATGCGAATGACAGATCTGAGACACAAAGCATGCGCTGATGGTGCCTGCGGTCGAGGGCAATGCGAATCAACCTGTTTCATAGAGTCGAATCATAATACGCTCAAGCATTCATCTCTTCAACGAACTACACCGGAATTTTCTTTGAACAAGTTAGGAACAAAATATGGCAGCAGTCACAGTTGCTAAAATATTTCGGCAAAGTTCTGTTTGGTGCCGCAGAATTCTCGCCAACTTTTCGAGCAGAGAACCGTACTTGACATTGCTTCATTTCATAGCATCGCCCATTGCGCAGCATTTTTCTCTCTAGAAAAGTTGTGAAACACTACTTACATTGTCTAATCCGTCGGTGCCCGTACATCCGCATGCTGAGCAAAAGGCAGGCATGTTGGCACTATCAGAGTAAGTTCTCTGTTTGTTAGCTCTTCTTCGAAGCGTACACCATAAACGTAACGCAGGGACGTTGGTGGGAATCCTGACGCGGAAGGCAACGGTGACGGAACTGGTTGATAAGGGCTCATTGACACACATATATTAGTATACACAGCCCTTATTAAAACACATCCACATAACGAAAGAACAAGAGCGGTTCAGCACGAACAAACTGCACAAAATCAATGAAGGAAGCGAATTCACACATCGTGGGCGCCGCCATGTTGAATTATCATAACGAAAGAAAAACTACAGTAGGTGGCTAGAGTGCCTAGAATATTCTAGGCACTCTAAGGTGGCGGTGGTAGTGGTTAAAAGACGGACGGGAGTACTGCGAACCAAGACATATCGGGCCAAATACGAAGGGGTAGACACAGTATGCAGTGCGTGTGGAGAGGAAGAAGAAACTGCTGAACACTTGATAATGTTCTGTAAAGGGCTTCACCCTATAGTTCAGGATGATGGCGCTGCGTTTTTCAAAGCACTGGGGTTTAGGGACCGGGAGGGCAAAATAGACTTTAAGCGGGTAGACTTAACTAGAAGGAGGTTATCTGATTGATGGCTAAAGTCAAGGCACGAGTGAAAATTAAATTCTTCACTGCAAAGTACGAATCCTCAAACTCACTTTTTAAGGAAAAAAAAAATATAGTTTTTGGTTCATTAGGTATTACGGCTTGGTGGCGCTAGCCACCGCCCAATCTAAAGGGCACAGCCATATCCATCCATCCAGACGAATTGCAAAGTACGAATTTTCAAACTCACTTTTTAACAACGTTACTGGATGAGGACAGTTGGAAAACTCGCGCGAGGAGGCGGCCGCAAATCGTCGCCCATTCCAGGTGTCGCTGGCATCGCTTTGCGACCACGTCACGTGACCTCTCCGCCGCGCAGCCGGCATCGCGCGGAGCAGACGGAGCAGCGACGCGGCTAGCAGGGCCTGCGCTTGCAGACGATTTTTTCCCTGCTGGTAATAATGGTGAGTACTCATCGTTAAGTAACCTAAATATAAAAAAAAGGCTGGCTCGTTGTTTCGTAACAGACCTTATGCATTAAATTTCAACCATGACAGAGCAGACGATAATGTTTACGCTGTTCTGCTTTCTGGAGAGAAAGCGGACGGTGACTCTGAGCAAGCAATTGTTCGCGGTTGAATTTTGCTCCCTTCGGGAGAACGGTCGGCATGCCGAGGTGTGCTGTGCCAGGCTGTCGAAGTGGATATTCATCGGCAACGTCAAATGAAGTGCCCTTCGTGCAGCGACACTTTTTCAAGCCACCGAAAGACCCCAATGTGCTGAGGAGTGGAACAATGCGGCAGGCCGTGCAAACTTCGAAGTTACTCAAAGATCATACATATGTGATCGTCACTTTGATGAAGCGGACATTTGCACCTCCTTCCAGCATGTTGTGAATGGCGAAACAGTCTCGATTCCGCGAGGACGCTGGGAACTGAAGAAAGGTGCGGTACCGCGGCATTTTGCTAATTGCGCTGAGCTTGATTTGAAGCTTTGTGTAGAAAATGTTGGCACAAATGCAGCAAGCGTGCTAGTGGCCGAAGATGACATTACCCCAGTTCTTCAGAGTGAAAGTGAGACGTGCACTGAAATGCTTGAACACGAAAACAGGGCTGCCTCAAATGCTGAAAGCATGGAAGTCATCATGAAAGAAAGCTCCACAGGTGAACATTGGTTTGGTGGCATAGAAGACTTGCCCGTGTATGGAGCATGGTGTGTGCAACACACGGATGAGCGTGTTGTTTTTTACAAACTTCAAGAAATTGGTGGCGTAGTTTTTATTGAAAGAGCTGTCGTTATAAACAAAAACTCGACCGTTGTTGTCAGCGCTAAAGGGAAACTTGTGCCGGAATCGTCTTACACCTTTATTAACAGTGACAAGCTCAATTTTACCACCTTGAAAGACGCAGCGCCCTTTCTTCATCTCATTGAGAGCCTGGGTATCTGCAATGGTTTTGATTCTCGTTTATGTCCTTTAATATCAACTTCTAAGACGGCTGAAAGGTCTGGGAGAACATGGAGAAGCAAGCGATGTGCAGTGCTGTCGGCGAAAGCCTTATGCGTTCAGTGCAGGAAAGCAAAAAAGAACTTGCAGTGCAGGCAGAAACGACGTTCAAGAAAGAGCAAGTACGTGCCTTTGCCATCTGCGCTGTTGAGAAATTTAAGAAAGAAGACTATAAGAGCAACAGTGCTGCGGGAGAAATACAAGAGGGACCTGCTAAGCTTGAAAAAAAGTTGTCATCAGATCCAAGCAATGCACTGTTGAGCGAGGTTTTAGCTGAACTTCCACCACTGCAGCAACTTGCATTTCGGACAGCACTGCAGTCGATGAAAGCGAAATCTTCAAGAGGTGTGCGGTATGACTGTGGGTGGCTGCTGAGTTGCCTTCTCTTGAAGATTTCAAGCCCACGTGTGTACCGCTTGATGTCAAGAATGAAAATCCTCCCTCTTCCAACTTCGACTAGGCTCCGACAAATAATAAGAGGAATGCCTTGTGAGTTTGGCTTTAATAAGCTCTCCCTTTCCAGCATAGGGGCTTTCATGAAGACTATGAAAGGAGTCCAGTGTTACGGCACACTAGTAATAGATGAAATGAAGGTACGCCAAGCCGTAGCTTTCAACCGTCAAACATACAAGATTGATGGGTTCGTAAATTACGGAGACGGTGAAGTTTCAGCAGCTACTGCTGATCATGCATTGGTTGCAATGTTTGTGCCTCTATTCCACTCATGGGTTCAACCGATTGCAAGTTTTGCAACAAAAAACGCAGCCCCCGGACACGTGCTCGCCAAAATAGTTCTTGATGCAATCGTGCAGCTACGCAAACACAACGCCATAGTCGTCGCAGTAATCAGTGATGGCGCCAGCACGAACAAAGCAATGTGGTCCAACTTTGGCATATCAGGAAAGCTTCACACAGCAAACCACAAAGTTCAGCACCCATGCGAGCCAAATCAAAGCCTCTACTTCCTTTGCGATGTACCCCACATTGTCAAATGCATTAGAAACCATCTTCTTCGACACAAATATGGCATGGTAAGTACCACGTACAGTACAATATCGCAATAAATAGTGTCGCGGTGCCAATCAAAATACATTTTCTTCGCAGCACTACATACGACTGACGGACTTTTTTTTTCCCTCTCTTCTTCTTGCTCATAGATTGGTGAACATCGCATAAACTATGACCACTACCGAGTTTTGCAAGAAGTAGACGGCAAAGAGCAACTCCGCATTGTTCCGAAGCTTACCGCTGAACACGTCTGCCCTGACAACATGAGAAAAATGAGTGTGAAGCTCGCAGTACAGGTAAGATTACGAAAAGCTGCTTTTGAAAGAACTTATAGCTTACCTGATTATTTAGGCAAATTCTTCACATGTGAAACACAAACTTAACTGGTACTGTGAAGTGTTCTCCTTAAGTCTTTTTGCGATTAATAAAATGCCCCTATACGTTTTCTGTCCCCTAGCTGCTCAGCCGAAGTACGGCTATCGGCCTTGATGTGTACCGGAGACTCAAGCAAGATGGCCTGGAAGACTGCGAGGGGACAGCCGCGTTTACCCGCATCATAAATGACCTTTTTGATGCCCTGAACATCAAGCTTCCTCGTTTTGGGATAAGGAGCACATCCAAGGAAATTAAGGCAAGGGCGATAAAATGTGCTACTTTTGAAGAACATTCGCAATAGGTAATGTTAATCAAGAACTGAGGCACTGGGCATATAAATAAAATACAAAACGCCGACAAACATTTACACCAACAAAAGCCTAGTTTAAGTAGACATTTATTTTGTAATTGAAGGAAGGTATTATTGAAAGAAAGACGACGAATAAATGTCTTGGAACTTAGAACTTCTCCTTCCAGATAACTGAAATAAACGTCGATGAGAAGGCGACACGCCGCAAGCGTGATTTCAAGTATTACCAGCTTCCATTTTCATTCAGTGGCACACATGTTTCATTAAAAATCAGGTTAAAAATAACTTTATGCCTTTCTTCAAAGGTCCCTTTTTTTATAGGCGTCGACGTTTGCATGTAAGAGCTAGCTTGCACAAAAAAGTAATGTCTAACATAAACTTTTCCCTTTTCTAGATCATCCAAGATTTCATGATTATCTTGGACTTGACAGAGAGAAACCACGTTGAGAAAGGAACAGCCATGTTCGCATCTCAAGTAACAATGGAGTCTCTAAGGGTGACTTTGTCATCTATCTTGGAACTAACAAATGACCTCCTTGCTAAAGGTGCACGCTACGTGCTCACAGGCAAGCTTAATCAAGACCCCTTGGAGGTGAGATTAGCATAATTCCATAAAACTGCGCACTTACTTCATTGCATGGAAAATAAACAAAACGGTTATGAGGAAGCATAGCGTGGTTTTAAACAGTCGTCATATCTCTATGTGAGATGTGCAATTCCCGCCTGAGACTTGCACTCTATAAATCCTCTTTATGCATTCCATACGCCATGCGTACTTTGACTTCTGAAAGAGATACATACGGTGAACTGACGTACGGCTTTATTACTACCATTACAGAGGTTCTTCGGAATCACCAGGAGCTTTGGAGGTGACGAAGACCATCCGACGATCCTGAGCTTTTCCCATATCTACAGGTTGCTGAGCCTGTACACACCTGTCAAGGCTTCGATTGCAGGCAATGTCCAAGAGGAGCCAACCTTAATACTAGCCACAGTGCAAGAGACGATGAAGCAAGGGAAGAAGCAGCAGCTGGCAACGTATGAAAAGTTGCGTGAGACAATCAGCGCAAAGATTTCCGAGGTTTGCTTGCCTGGAATAAGTTCAGCATCCCACTCGGGACCGACACCGCTTCCGGACCACGGATATGCTTTGCCAGCAGTACAGGAGTGCGTCGTATATTACCTCTGCGGCTACATTGTACATTCTTTTCTGAAGCACGTCAACTGCGCTGCTTGCATAAGCAGCATCCAGTCAACAAACACTAAATTCCCCGCTTCACTACTGACATTGGCAAGAGAATTCAGGAACGGAAGCCTCAAGCATCCCTCTACAGAACTTTACACAATGTTGAAACGCGTCGAAGAAAAACTGTCTCTCGTGCTAGGAGAAAACCATCTGTGCGCCGACATGTTTTGGGATGCGCTGGATGTCATCAAAGACTGCGATGTTCCAAGCGTTGGTTGTTCAGTTCATAAGGACATCCTGACATCGGAGATTGTACACTCATACGTTGTTTTGAGAATGCACTTTTTTACGAGAGATGTTTGTAAGAAG